CTTACACAGTGCTTCAGCCAGTGATTCTGATGATCCACCTAATTCATTAGATTCTAAGTTCAAGGTGGTTAAAGTATTGTTTTCACATAGTGCTTTTGCTAATGCTTTTCCAGCTATTTCGCCTAAATCATTTGATTCTAGGTTCAAATCAGTTATCGAGGTATTCATGCATAATACATCGGTCAATTCTTTTCCTGCCGAATCCCCAATAAAATTTCTACTTATATCCAATTTTATAAGTGTATTATTCTTGCGTAATGCTTCAGCCAGTGCTTTTCCTCCCGATTCTCTTAAATTATTCTCCCTTAGGTCCAAACAAATCAGGGTGTTATTCTTACATATTATCTCGATTATCAATTTTATTTTCGATTCTGTCAAGTCAATAGATTCTAAATTTAAATTTGTTAACGTGCTTTTATTGTATTGTGCCTCGACCAATGCTTTTTCTATTGAACTATTTGCGCAACATCCTGTTCTAAAAGATAATTTTGTCGCCGTATTGTTAACAACCTGGATATATTCTTGCTTAGAGTCCAACAATGCTATAAAACTATCTTGTGATGTTGATATGGGATATTTTTTACAAGAATCAACAGTAGAATAACATTGATTTAATGATTTTTCGGTATCAGCATCCACTTTATTAAAATTTATGTCGAGACTTTCTAAAGTATAGATTATATTTTCAATATCTGGTCATTCGTCTGGATTATCATTATGACACCTATCATATAATTCAATGAAACTGCTGGGGCCGTCTTTTATTTTTCCAACGTATAACCCTGGAACTTCACAATTCGATATCTCCCACATAAGAACTCCATAACTAAAAATATCCGATTTTTTATTTCTTTTAAATCCAGGTGTTTTGTAACATCCAGGATCAATATATGCTGCCACTCCTTTAACTTCTGAATTGGATGTCGATGTGCTTTCATCCAAACATTTTGAAAGGCCAAAATCTGCTATCATCATTCTGCCCTCATGCACTAAAATATTCTTGGAATGTTAAATGAAGAGTTGAAAACTATTAATAACGTAAATGTTAATATAAACAATTGGAAGTTCATTTAATAATTACCAGGTCTCGATGGATAATGTTTTCCGAATGTAAGTAGCCTAACCCTTTCGCTATATCCAAGGATGTTTGTCGTTTATCTTCCCAATTGAGTGAACCTTTGTGAGTCCTTAAATAATCACGGAGATTTCCATCATTTGCATATTGCAATACAAGTATGTAAATTTGTTCTTCTGGATCTGCAAAAGTTTGTTGAGAGAAGTTAACAATAGCATAAATAAAGGAAAAGCGTAAAAATGCTGGATATTTATGAACCTTTCGTCACACCAAAAAATTTATTAATATTTTTATGTGAAATTGTACTAAGTAACATTATCTAATAAAAATTTTGCGGTTTAATTGGAAAATTACTTTAACCAAATCGGTTTTTCATTTATTTAATCGAAATTTTTGACAGTAAAAGCTTACTTCACGTTTAAATTCTTTTAAATCTGATTCTTTTGATTGCGAAGCATTATTTAGACGCTTCAATGCAACTTCTTCTTTGGAGTTCTTTCTTTGTGCGCGTTCTACAATAGCAAAACCTCCCCTTCCAATTTCATCTCCAATATAAAATTCGTGTAATTGATAAAGGGAATTTTTTTATTTCCATCTTCGACTTTCGTTGCATCCTCTAAACATTCACTAAAAACTATTTTGTTTTCCAAAATAAATTAGATATTATATTTCTCCTTTATGCTAGAAAAAAAGTTTAACTTACCACTCATATTTGAATTTGTATACAAAATATGATTAAAATCGTCAAGAATTTTTTTTTTCTTAAAAAAAAAATTTTATTTGGCTTCGATGATTTCCATGATAATTAAAAAAAATTCAAAGGTGAATGTCAATTATGATATGAAAAAGATTGGTTTGCTTTTAATATGGGTCTTGTAGATACTTCGACCATTTTCTATTATTGTCATAAATTTCATATGCTGTTATGAATCAATGAAAACGGTCAGAGCCTGTTCGGAATTTTATTCTCATAGTCAAATGTTCGTACATAATCTGTTTCATCATCAAGTTTAGTAGGATTGAAAGTGAAATCTACGCGTCAGGTGTGGACATGATTGTACTTTATTTAATATGGATACTTTCCGTTAATTATAATAATAACCAAAATATTAACGTTGATTAAAGGGAACAATATTATGTATCATATTTATTACGTATTATTGAAATCAATAATTATTTCCAAAATGATAATTCAATCGATAAAGATTAATGTGCAGGAAGAGCGAGGTTTTTATTCAAATATTGTTGAATACCTTTCCTAATTAAATTAAACGTTATCAGTGGGTTTTATATAAGAATATTTTACATATTGGTGTTAGCTATTATTAATTATAATTACTATATTGAATTTGTGAGCATTTAAACTAACAAAAAATGACCAACAAATTCATATTTTAGCTAAATGGTCATTCTAGACAAACGTCTTTGATCAATTACTAATAATATACAAGTACTATAAGAAAGTTTATACTTAGTGCACTCACATTTAAACTAAACAACATTCTCCGAAGCTTTTCTGATCACATAAAATAAACGGTGAAATTGTAGGCAACTAAATAACAAGGCTAAAGTGCATATTACAGATTTATTTGTTTTGATCAGTTCAGAGTTTTTTTTTTTACCGTATTTCTAGGCCAATAAATCATTATTATTATTAATTTATAATTGACTCACTGGTCAATTGCATTATTGCCTAAACTATCCACTATTCAAATATGCGATTCTTCCGGGAGCAGAAGATTAAATGAACCGATGGGGGTAAAAACTTGTGAGAATCCATAAATTTTTTGTAATACTAATCAAATTCGTACCCTACGTTTGATATTGCACACCAGAATAAATGCTGTGATGTGAAGCAACAGTATGTTCATTTTGAATCAAAATTAGCATCATTAAAGACAAAAAAGTATAGGCTAACCTTAACTCTGAATTTTATCAATTTAGGAATTGAAATGTAATTATTTCCTAACACACTGTATAAAGGATTTTTGGTTAAAAAATTTTCATTCCCGTTCATAAACACCATCGATATGAATTCATTATAGATAGAGTCATATTTAAGGTTTTATGTTAACTGGTTTTACAGTCGCTATTACAGATGTAATTTTTACTCGCTTAAAACAACAGGACATGAATACAAAACTTTAACTAATATGAGGTCGCATATAAAGGACAAATTCTTTGGTTCCTTTTTCGGCTTAGGGAATTGGGTATAATCTTATATCTTGACTTTCTCATAATAAAATGAGTACTAGAAACCAATATAACGCAAGAAAAATTTCATTTTCGTTTCTTTTTATCTTAAAAAATCAGGCAGCCATCACCAAATAGATTAATACAGTATCAGTCATAATTAGGTTACCCCTCCCCCCGAAATTGTAAAAACTTAAATATAAAAAAATTTTTTTTTTGATTTTAAAGCCCAAGGTAAGTATTTATAATTAATACATAGTATAATCACCGTCCGATTCTATTAAGGCTAAAATTCGATTATTCATACTTTTAACTAATTTTTCAGCTAACAAGTCAGAAAATTTATTCCATTCTCTCGTTATTTCTTGTTTTAAGCCCATACATAATTGTTCTAATTTTTTTTTTGCTGTATTTTAATCTTTAGGAGTCGCCACACGTTTTCTATCAGATTTTGATCCGGGAATACAACAGCCACGAAAGTACCTTAATATGGTTTTCTTCCCTCCATTTTTTCGCCTTTTTCGAATGATGTTTTGGATCATTATCTTCTAAGAGATATCAATTCATATTATTGTCACCAAAAAATGTTCGCGCAGAGGTTAAAAGGTCATCTTTATATATTTTGCATAAAAAATCAGCATCAAGATTGTGGGTAAAAGAAATTAACTTGCCAAATCCTAAAGCTGAAAAACAGCCTCAGACATGAATCTTTTGTGAGTACTTTACGATTCGAAACACTTTTCACCTTCTAATATATTGTCATGTTTTTTTATTTAATTGAAACAGACAGATAGTATATTCATCAGTAAAAATTGTCTTATTCCAATCAAACTTTTGATGTTTTATTGCCCAATTTATTAAATGATTCTCCCGATGCCTTTCGCTAAAAAGTGGTTTTGGTATTCTATTTATATATTTGGCCCCAGATTCAACCAGACAACATTTAATGGTACTTTTACTAATGTAAATATCTTGGTTTTCCGAAGCACTTTGACAACAGCAGGCTTACTACAACCAACATAAGTAGCTGTTTTTTCAACACCAAGCTTTGGTCCTAATGGATGTTCATGAAGAAAGACGATTTCGTATCGTTGATAAAGCAAAAATGACATTTTTTAAGTGCAAAACTTACCTATCATCTGATTTTCGCAAAAGACATTGCACGAACTTACAAAAGCATTAGTAATCATCAATTGTGTTACCCTTTATCCAAAAAATTTTTTGAAGGTAATTTCGGAAAATAGGAGGGGTAACTTACTTTTGACCGGTACTGTAAAAATAAGAATTGAGTTTAAATCAACCTTCCTCTTATTTTATTATTTTCAATTTTCAATTTATCTATATTTATTTAACAAATAGACAGTATGAATAGTTGTAAGAATCAAAATTTTTTATAGTAAATATTTGTAATGTTAATTTCAAATAATTATTTTTGTTATTTACATCGCATATTAAAAGTAAAATCATATGCGATAAAACAATTCAATATATGGCTAGAAAGTTACATTCTATTTTATTAGAAGACAAATATTATAATTTACATTCCGTATCCGAGTCAAGTAATGTGAATGGTACAACTTTTTATAGGTAAAAATGATAAAGATAACAGATATAAATGTGAAGCTTCGCGCATTCGACATATACATATACGTATCGGTTATATTACGACTTTGTCATTGTAAAATTATTCCTATATACACATATCTCTATCAGGAATCGTTCAGAAATAATGTCATTTCACCTCACCAATCGCCTTATTGATTATTTGCATCAACTTATAGAGTTTACCTATATTGTGTCTAATTTCTCCCCAAGCAACACCGTCGAATATAATTTTTGAGTAATCGTTACCACCGACTGAATCCGGTTTGTTAACCATCTCCACAAATTTTTTGATCGATTCATATTCAGTGCCATCAACGTGAAGACGAACAGGATTTTCATGAAAAGTGGCATCAATTTTTTCGTAACTTACAGTGCATCCTTCTTTTAAGTATCCCATGCGACATAGAAAAGGAAGGGTAAGATTTGGTCTGCCATATCCATCTACGGGCATCCTAGCAAGTAATTCTTTAAGCTCATTCTTACATCCTTCAGAGATATCGAAATCTTTAAAATCCATTTTTTTCACGCCGTTTGTAAGCTCTTCAACCTTATCAACACCTTCAGCAGAAATCACATCAAACTCTTCCGCATCTGTATCTCCATCGGCCTCCACGTTTCGTTCTGCGGAATAAAACAAATAATTATGAAAAATTCTATACAAAAAAAATATTATGTTCTTTTACAAGTTATGGCCATTGTTAACCTTGTATTTTATTAATCCTCCTAGCAAAGTCCACGAGCCTTGTCGCAGGTCCTCTTTTTAAGCCATCTTGCATGAATTCCTCCTTGGTCAATGTGAAGAAATCACTACCGGAAATCTTTTCATTACGAAGAATAGCACAATCATCTGCGTCAAGGTGCAAACTTTCTTGTCCACATAAAAACTCGATGAGCTTCTCCGTGCCTAACCTTTTAATCTCTTCGACTGAAGTTGAATCTAACGTAATAGTTTTTTCGTGCATGGAAGTCAAATTCTTTGAGATAAAATGAAGTCCACATTATAACTCAAATTGACGAAGATTAACAATAATTTTTCAAAGCTCATTCTTACTAAAAAAAGAAATAATATGCATGCGCCATATGTAAACGCATATAATTATCTCCTTTTTTGCTGCGCGAATGAGTCACAAGTCTTTGATCACGGAGTCATACCTGCGTATTTGTCACATGATTTATTTAAAGTTAATACTGTATATCATAGCAGCGACATTACTTATGAATTATTTGATTATTTGATGTATTCAATATATCAAAACATTAAGAAAATAAATAAATGATTTACGTATTTAATAATTTATTTATTTATTTATACTGTATTATTAGCTTTTTAATATACCATAGGTAAATAATAATAATCATAATCAATAATTAATTTTAACAATAAAATTAATTTATAATAAATTATCTATACGTATATTTAAATAATATATTTATAGTTATTATTAACAATAATACTTGATTTTATTTGATGGTTACAAAAGTAAATAGAATATTACGATTGCGCTATTTTGATGTTTTTGAGTTTTACATTATTTATTTTACTTGATTATTTAAATCCAAATAAAAAAATTATTAATTTATTATTAAATATATATATATTTTTATAAATAATAATATAAATAAATAATATAAATAAAAACATTATATATATATATATATATATATATAATAATAATAATAATAAATATTATTATTATCAAATTTTAAAATAATAAGTTTTTTATTGATAATTTAAAAATGTTTTGTAAAAAAAAATAATTGAATTTTGGTTTTATGATTTTATAATACATATATTGTAAATTTAATATTATAAAAATATAAAATGATATTAAAAATAAATAAAAATTAATAAGTATTAAAAAATAATAAAATCAATTTATTATTATATATTTTGTAAAAAAATATTATAAAAATTAAAAAAAAACTCTTTTCTATATATAATCTTTTTTAAAAAAATTTTTTTTTTAGTAATTATCTTTCAAAATTAAAGAAACAAATATTTTTTTTGTCTTTCAATATTAAAAAATCCATTACACTTTCTTTTTCTTTACTACAAAAGTCTCAAGAAAATTAAAAAAGTATATTAATATATTGGAATAAAATTTTTAATAAAAAAAAAAAGTTTATAATCTTAATTTTTCTTTGAATTATATAAAAAAAAACTTATAGTAATTATTTTTTAATAATTTTTTTAGAAACTTTTTCTATTTTTTCTTTCTAATATATAAATTTTTTTAAATAATATTATTTTTTACTTAAAGGATTTTTTTTAATCCAAAAAATTAAACTTCATATCAAAATTAACTATATTATTATCTTTTATTATTACTTAACTTATTTTGCTATGTTATCAAAAATTAAAAATTTTTACTTACAAAATTTTTTATCAAAAAATTATTATTAATTTACTCATATTAACTAGGCTCTAAAAAATATCAAATTGACATTGAACTGGTATTAAAATAGTACCAATTTATAGTAAATTTATTATATAGATTATAATTTACTTATATGATTTTATAGTAAATTTAAATATTGAACTAATATCAAAGTAATATCAAAATGGTATTGTTAAAAGCCTTACTATTAATTAATTAATATTTCAAATCCAATCAATAAATATAAATATTATCAAATTTCAAAATAATTTTGTATAATCAAAATATTATATAATAATTAATATAAACAAATCCTATTTTGACAATAATAATTAAAACAAAATTACATTATAAACAAATAAATCAATTAATTCAAATAACTTGTTAATAATATTATTATTTACTTTGAACAATAACTTGTCTATTTTTGAAAGTAATACTCTACTTTAGTTAAATGAATTAATCAATTAATATGTTTAATTCAAGATATTTTTTATATTATAATTAGTTTTATATATATATATATTGATTATTATCAAATATTCAATTAAAATAATAATATTACTATTACTATCAATAATAATTCAAGAAATGGCTATTAAGAAAATATATTATCAATATTATTATATATCTTAAATTATAACTTGAATATTTCAAAAAATATTATTATACTTCAAAAAAATAAAATTACTAGAATAATATTAAGTATCATTTACATTATAATTAATTTTTTTTGATATTTTATTTTTGTTTAACATTTTCTTTTTTAAAGAAATTTTATTTTATATAATCCTGAATAAATATTTATAGTTGCTTATCACTATATACATACAGTATATCAATTTTAATATTTATTTTCTTTTATTATTTAAATAGTTTCTGTAAGTAAACTAGTATTAAACTCACTGATTAATTGATTATATAAGAGATGTTATTACTTTTTACATATAAAATTTTTTAAAAAATTTTATAATAATAAAAAGATAATATTTACTTATTTAAAAAAATATTTTAAGTATATAATTTAATTAAAAAAATAATATTTACTTATTGAAAAAAAATTAAAACTTATAAATTACCAATATAATTATATACTATATATTTAAATTTTTTTATTTTTTTATAATAATATTTTTTTTAAAAAAAATAAAAAAATATATAAATATATTAAAATAAAATCAATAAATTTATATTATATTATAATTACTGATTTTTTTTTAAATGTTAAGATAAGATACTTATTATAACTTTATTAATAGAGTAAAAATTAAATATTATATAATCAATATTAAGATATAAGATATATAGCTATTGTTATGATAAAATCATAGTAAGTCAGTTGCTTCAATCTGACTTATGTCATATAATGCTCAAAAAAATTTTCTTCTCAAAAGAGGCATATGAATTTGGCTAAAGTCTGTAATGCCAATGCAGATTAGTTCATTGGTCTGTATTCTATCTAGTTACTTTATATATAGCAGTTCCTTTTACTATACAATATTGAAAATATTCTTACCAAACCAAACTTTATCAAGAAAGACAATCTTTATTATATGAATAGAACCTCTTTCAAGATCTAATCTATCTATTTCTTTTTTTTTTTTTAACTCTTGCTGTCAATTCAGGTACCTGTTTTCATCACCTACTAGTCTCCTGGTGTTTCTCCAGGGTACAGGGGTGATGACGTCGGTCC